TTTACAATAATAGAGAAAGCCCGGAGGAGCAACAGACTAAACTAAGCGACCGGCAGACCCGAAATCTGGCTAAGATCCTATTGGCTACAACAATGGATGACCCACAGGAAAAACGGAGGCACCTCAAGAAGCTGACTTCAGGGACAGGTAAGGAAGATGGCCCTGGTCCCCGACAGGAGCGCCCTAAGCTAAACAAAAACCAATGTGCTTATTGCAAGGAAGAGGGCCACTGGGTGAAAGACTGCCCTAACAAAAGATCTAAGGCCCCTGCCAAGATATTGGAGATGGAGGACCTGGATGACTAGGGGAGTCGGGGTTCAGTACCCCTCCCCGAGCCCAGGGAAACTCTCAGAGTGGAGGGGCAACGAGTTGAATTTCTAGTGGACACTGGGGCACAACATTTGGTCTTATTACAACCCCAGGGAAATTGGCAAGCAAGTCCTCATGGGTGCAAGGGGCCATGGGGACCAAACAGTACTCATGGACTACCTGAAGAACTGTGGACCTCGTCATGGGCCGGGAATCCCACTCCTTCATGGTCATCCCTGAATGTCCCTACTGGTTGTTAGGTTGGGACTTGCTCACCAAGATGGGGGCACAAATTTGCTTCCACCCCGGAGGGGCAAAAATCCTAGACAAAGAAGGGCAACTGATTCAGGTGCTTGTCCTGAGTTTGGAAGATGAATATCGTCTCCACCAGACGCCCCCAGCTCCAATGACTGACTTTGACCATTGGCTACAGGAATTTCCCCAGGCATGGGCAGAAACTGGGGGAAGTGGGCTGGCCCGACACCGACCGGCTATATACATAGAACTAAAACCAGGGGCAGACCCTGTCAGGGTCCGCCAATACCCCATGCCTCTCGCAGTGCGAACGGGAATCACGCCCCACATACAGCGACTACTGGACTCAGGCATATTAAGGCTCTGCCAATCGGCATGGAACACTCCCTTGCTGCTGGTGCGAAAACCACACTCTAATGATTACAGGCCAGTCCAGGAATTAAGGGAAGTCAACCGGTGAGTCATGGATATGCACCCCACGGTCCCAAGCCCATACACCCTCCTCTCCACCTTGCCTCCAGACAAAAATTGGTATACGGTATTAGATTTAAAAGATGCCTTCTTCAGCCTGCCTTTAGCACCCGAGCCAAGACCTTTTTGCCTTTGAATGGACGGACCCCGAGAAAGGCATCAATGGCCAACTCACCTGGACTCGACTACCACAAGGATTCAAAAACTCACCAACCATCTTCGATGAGGCCTTACACAAAGACTTGGGTGAGTTCCGTTCTGAGCACCCTCATTTGACCTTATTGCAATATGTAGATGATATCCTGCTGGCGGCCGAGGACCAGGACACTTGCCTGCGAGGCACCAAGGACTTACTCCAGACTATAGCGGCTCTAGGATACCGGGCCTCAGCCAAAAAGGCCCAAATCTGCAGAGCAGAGGTGAGCTACCTAGGGTACAAATTAAAGGATGGACACAGATGGTTGACGGATGCACAGAAGGAAACCGTCCTAAGGATCCCACAGCCGCAAACCGTCCGTCAGGTACGTGAATTCCTGGGATCGGCAGGGTTCTGTCGATTATGGATTCCAGGTTTTGCCGAGATGGCCAGACCCCCCTATGAGGCCACCAGGCACCAACAAAAAATTGAATGGACAGAGGCCATGAACAAGGCCTTGCTGTCTGCCTCGGCTCTCGGGTCGCCTGACCTAACCAAGCCCTTCTACCTGTATGTAGACGAGAAAGATGGGGTGGCAAAAGGGGTCCTTGTCCAGTACATAGGTCCCTGGAAAAGACCCATAGCTTATCTCTCTAAAAAGCTGGACACGGTGGCCACTGGATGGCCCCCATGCTTAAAAATTATTGCCGCGGTGGCCACTATGGTCAAGGACACAGACAAGCTAGCCATGGGGCAAGAGCTATATGTTACCACCCCACATGCTATTGAAGGGGTACTCAAACAGCCCCCAGACCGCTGGATCAGCAATGCTCATCTGACCCATTATCAGAGCCTACTGCTAAACCCCACCAGAATTTTATTCAAGCCACCTACAACCCTGAATCTGGCAGCGCTACTCCCTAACCCAGACTGGGACCCCCCCTCTGCATAACTGTTAAGAGATTTTGGCACAGGTGCATGGAATCAGGGCTGATCTCCGGGACCGGCCACTGCCGAACACGGACGCCACCTGGTATACAGACGGCAGTAGTTTTGGCCGAGAAGAAATCAGATACGCGGGGGCAGCCGTAACCACAGAGACGGAGATCATCTGGGCAGAGCCATTGGCAGCCGGAACATCGGCTCAACGGGCAGAACTGATCGCCCTGGCCGAGGCACTAACCATGGGAGAAGATAAACGAATAAACATTTACACCGACAGCAGGTACGCCTTTGCCACCGCTCATATCCACGGAGCCCTTTACAGAGAGAGAGGGCTTCTGACAGCAGAGGGAAAGACTATTAAAAACAAAACAGAGATTCTTGAGCTCCTAAGGGCCCTCTGGCTGCCCAAGGCGCTAGCTATCATCCATTGTCCAGGACACCAAAAAGCAGACACACCAGTAGCCAGGGGAAACCGGCTAGCCGACTCAAAAGCAAAGGAGGCAGCCCTTTCGGTGACCCAGGTTTTAACAACCACGCTACCCGATCCGGGGGCACCGACCCTGCCGGACACCCCCAACTATACTGGCACTGACTTACAACGGATTAAACGCTTGCCTATGACCCAATGCTTGCGTGGCCGGTGGAGGGCCGCAGACTCCAGCATCATCCTGCCAGAGGAACTAGGACGACGAGTCCTATCCAAAGTGCATTGGAGTACTCATATGGGAACAAGAAAGATGGAAGACCTCATACGACATGCTAAGATCATTATTAAGGACTCTTGAGCAAAGATCGAGCAGATCGTGGCAAGCTGTCACGCATGCCAGCTAACCAACGCCACCACCCATGGGTCTAACCCTGGAACCCGACTCAGGGGAGACCGCCCAGGAGCATACTGGGAAGTAGATTTCACTGAGGTAAGTCCTGGAAAGTATGGGTACAAGTACCTGCTAGTTTTCGTAGATACCTTTTCAGGGTGGACAGAGGCCTTCCCCACCAAGCACGAAACAGCACAAATGTCGACCAAAAAGCTGCTGGAGGACATTCTGCCAAGGTATGGATTTCCTGCCGGAATCAGATCCGACAATGGACTGGGGTTCATTTCTAAGGTAACACGGGGAGTAGCACAAATACTGGGGGCACACTGGAAATTACATTGTGCTTACAGACCCCAGAGCTCAGGTCAGGTAGAGAGGATGAATAGGACATTAAAGGAGACCTTAACTAAATTAGCCTTGGAGACTGGCGGGGACTGGGTCACTCTCCTCCCCTTTGCCCTGTATAGGGTGAGAGACTCACCATATAAGATGGGACTGACTCCCTACGATATCATGTTTGGTATACCCCCACCTATCATTCCTGCCTTGAACCCAAAGTGCTTGCCGAGTTCAATGACCAACAGCTTCTTTTCTCCCTCCAAATGTTACAAAGAGCCCATGAGCAGGTGTGGCCTAAGCTGAAGGCCCCTCTATGAGACCGGGCTGCCCCCTGACCCCCATCGGTATCAACCAGGCGATTGGGTGTACGTGCGGAGGCACCAACAGCAGACACTCCAACCTCGCTGGAAAGGACCCTACATTGTGATCCTGACCACGCCCACCGCTCTCAAGGTCCACAGAATAACTCCTTGGGTCCACTACACCCATGTCCGGCCAGCTGATCCACACGCCGTCCTCAAGGACTTTGTTCCAGAATGGAAGAGTCAGCCCAACAAGGACAATCCCTTAAAGCTAAGGCTGCGTCGTTCCCACTTACCCCGCTAATATTACTTGAGCTGTATCCCCTCGCGGCTAAACCCAACCCCAAACCATTTAATCTAACCTGGCAAATCATCACCCCAAGCTCTAATCAGGTAGTAACCCAGCTGTCAGAGCTACACCCTAGAGGGACCTGGTGGCCTAACCTGACTATCGACTTGTGTGAACTATTCAGTCAGGACCCCTGGCACCAAGGCAGAATAGGAATACCGGGATGTGGCACCGAGAGGGCGGAGATGGCCCTCCGAGATACCTGTTTTTACGTGTGTCCGGCCCTCTCTCAGTCTGACCATAATAAGGCCTCCAAATGCGGTGGCTGGACGGACTACTTCTGCAAAACATGGGGTTGTGAACAAACTGGGACATGCAATTGGCTGTCACAAAACCCATCCGGCCTCATAAAAATCCAACTGAATACTACGCGCCCCTCATGCTCAGAACGCCCTTACTGTAATTCAGTCACCATTTCCTTCACGGAGACCGGGAAACAAGAAACAAATTGGGGGGTAGGACTTCTGTGGGGACTCTGGCTTCACCAAAGCGGGTATGATAACGGAGTCCTATTCATGATCAGACAACTAGAGGAGCCGAAAGGTCAGACCCAAGGGATAGGTCCCAACACTGTGCTAGTGCCTCCTCAACCTCAGGCAACACCCGCAGCACCCCCTCTGAATCTTGCCCACAACACCTCCGGTGGGGGCACCCCAGTTCCGACTCTCCTCTCCCCTCTCCTCCCCCTCGACCCTTCTCAGCACCCTCTTTGCGCCCTGATGTCCAAGGCTTACAAATTCCTCAACGCAAGTAAGCCCAATCTTACCTGATCCTGCTGGCTGTGCAATGACGTCCGCCCCCCCCTTCTATGAGGGTATAGCAATAATGGGTCAATATAACACGACCACGGACCCTAATGCTTGCAGGTGGAACCGAAAGCCTGGTAAAGGCCTTACCTTGCAGTCCGTGTTAGGTCATGGACCCTGTATAGGCACTCCTCCACGCCACCACAAGGCGCTGTGCAACGTTACACAGCCTATAAATAATACAGGGTATTATCTACCCCCCCAAGACAGTTGGTGGGCTTATTCGGAGGGTTTAACTCCCAGTGCTCATGGTCAGGTTATAAACAGAACTGGGAGCTTCTGTGTGCTGGCTCAGCTACTCCCTAGAATCATCTACCATTCAGATGAGCAGGTACTTCAGTGGAAGGGTGCAGATACCCACAAGTGAAATAAAAGGGAGCCCATCTCCGCTATCACCATCGCCTCCCTACTGGGAATTGGATTGGCTGGCGCAGGGACGGGTATTGCCTCACTAGCCACCCAGGCCTCCCACTACAGTAGCCTTAGAGCTGCCATCGATATAGACCTAGAACGCAAAGAAACCTCCATTTCCCACCTCCAAGAATCCCTAACGTCTTTGTCTGAACTGGTGCTCCAAAATAGGAGGGGATTAGACCTAGTTTTTCTACAACAAGGGGGAGTCTGCGCTGCCCTGAACGAAGAGTGCTGTTTCTACACTGACCACTCAGGGATAGTACGAGAATCAATGGCTAAAGTAAGGGAAGGATTAGCCAAGCGAAAACGAGAGAGAGAGCAGCAACAGGGATGGTTTGAATCATGGTTCAATCATTCCCCCTGGCTGACTACCTTATTGTCCTCCCTAGCCGGTCCCCTGATCATCCTTCTCCTCCTTCTGACCTTTGGGCCCTGCCTCATCAATAGACTAGTGGCTTTTGTCAGGGACCGAGTCAATACAGTTCAACTCATGGTACTCAGGCAACAATACCAACCACTGACTCTCTCGACAGAAACCCAGAACCCATGACTGGGTCCTGCATAGGATCCTCTGGAAAAGGGGGGGAATGTGGGACCCAAGGAATTTAACAAAATCCCCTACCCCTGGACAAGCAGAGCAAGACTAACTCCATTTTGTACTACACCCACCATCTCATGTATACCCCCCACATGACCTACTTATTGCTTAAGACACTCCCCCACCCTAGTCAATACAGAACCCCTAGCCGCCAAAGAATGAAAACCCCGCCTTTTGCCCACCACACTTGCGCGCCAATTCTGACCAGAGTGATAGGCTAGTTCAAACAGTTACTATAGGGTAAATTGTAATTCAATTGGCCACCTGCGTGTGGACTGACAAGACTATGCAACTTTCTGTGTGTTACACTCTCATTAGCCACTGGCCCCTATAAAACTGCTATGCCTCTTAACCTAGGGGTCCAAGTCCCTGCTCTGCTGTGTCGGGTATACTTGGGCCCAAGCTTGAGCTTGCAAATAAACCCTCATGCGTTTGCATCGTTATCGACTCCTTGGTGGTCTCTCGGATTCGAAATCGGGGGCATTACAGAAGTAAAACCTGTTTAAGATCAGTTTGACCACAGGTATTAAAAACTTTAAAATGTACAGAAATAAGACTTCCAGCTATGACAATATGAAAAACTAGGCAAATCTTCCCTCCCAAAACACAAGAATAAAACTGGACATAGGGGCGCCTGGTTGGTTCAGTAGGTTAAACTCTTGATTTCTGCTGAAGTCAAG